TTACTAAAATTGGGGGAAAAAGTTAGCATAGAAATGGTTTCTAAGCAATTATAGTACTTATAAAAATGCAAACTTTAAAATGAATACATATGTGTTGAATGAATGTATTCATTACAATCTGGGAGTACATTAGAATGCATTACTAAAATAATTAAGCTTTCCCTAGGAGAGGGTTCATAATAAGGAAAGTATCTATCTATTTTCAAAAATTTGCAATATACCTGTCATAAGATTAGATGCTTCTTAAGTATAAATAAATTTAGAGGAGGAGGGGACATTTGTATGAAAGTATAGATAAGACCTAATGATCTCTTCTTTATCTTGGCAGACATGGGGTTTTAATAAATGTTCAACATAAGCTTTCCTAAGGCCTTGCTACCTTGAAAAATGGCTCTGAATCATTTACAGCAATAAATTACATGGAATGTTTCTATGTGCTTTCTAGCTCTCTTCAGATGAGTGGCTCCAGGGAGAAAGCGAAACATGATAAATGCATTTGCTAAAATGTGAGCATTTTTCTATCACTGCATATGTTTTTTAAAAATATATCTTTATTGATTTCAGAGAGAGGAAGGGAGAGGGAGAGACAGAGAGATAGAAACATCAATGATGAGAGAGAGAGTCATTGATGGGCTGTCTCCTGCATGCCCCCCGACTGGGGATCAAGCCCACAGCCCAGGCATGTGCCCTGACCTGGAATCCAACAGAGATCTCCTGGATCCTAGGTCAATGCTCAACCGCTGAGCCACGCCCAGCCGGGTGTCACTGCATATTTTTTATCTTTGGAAGGAATGAATACAATATGTATGGGGGTTGCTGCCCCCCACCCTTTTGTTTTAAAGATGTATTGCAATTCAAAGGGAAATACTCACCACTGAATTTTTAAAAATTGTATACTGACACTTAATATCAAATAAATGGTTACTACATAAGTATTATATTAATCTAATTTTTACACAAGTATATTTTATATAAATTTGAAATAGAAATTAGTGTCAATATTGAGTTGATATAATATATGACCAATGAGACTAAGATCTATTTGCCAATTTTTTTACCGGCTCCTTTAAGATTATGTAAATGTCATTTAAAAGCATCTCATTAAAAAAAATGGTATTTCTACATCAAAAAGAGAAAACATAAATGCAAGCAATGGTTTAAAAGTTTGTATATGAAAACACTACAAACAAAATGTCAGAAAAATAACTGCAATATGATACTAGGTAATAATCTTACTTAATAAAATGTTTTTATAAGTAGATAAGAGAAAAAAGAATCCTCTCCACCCCAATGAAAACGTAAGCAAAAACATGACTAATAAATTCACCAAGTATTGATGCCAATTTAAAAAAAGTGCACTAATCATGTTAGAAATATGATTTAAAATAAAATAAAATGTTTCCCCCATACTAATTGGCAAAGATAAAAAACAAATAAAATACAACTCTCAGTTAGGTCTGGCCACTGTGATCATAACCCTGGGGGAGTATGGTTGGGAACCAATACTAATGCAGTGGATATAAACTTAGCGCAGAGTCAGCTGGATTTAGGTTCAAACTGGCTTTACCACCTCAATCATTTTACTAATCTCTCAGGGTTTCCATTCGACTTGTGATTAAAATTAAGATAATAACTCTACTCCACAGATTGCTATGAGAATCAAAGGGCTTAATGCATGTTAAATGTTTGTCAGAGCACTTGTTATTTTAGCTATTACTCCTATTAAGTTGCTCAAACATTAAAAATGATCATTTATAACTATGTACTAAAAGACTTATACTGTTGCATAACCTTTGAGCTATCAAATTTACTTCTAGACATTATTTCTGAAGAAGTTAATAGGGATGCTCATCAGATTTTAGCTACAAGGGTATTGATGAGCCTTGTCTATAACAATGAAAGTTCACAAATAGCACTGTGTGTTAAACAATAAAGGATCGATTAAATAAATTATAATTTGTCCATTAATAATGTATCCTGTTTAAGTTAAGAAGTTACTAAATAATAAGTAGAAGAAAAAAAAGAAACTAATTTATTTGGGTTTTAAACTAAGTATGTCCTAAGTTTGTGAGTGGAGCAATATGTGGTCAATAGTGCAATTAGAGAGAACAGGAACAGTGAACTGTAGAGATATGAAAATGCACAGAGCATGCAGGGAATGGAAAATTATCAGACATATGTCTAGAACACAAGGAATTATTAGAATATCAAGGAAGACTATGCTGGAAAGCCAGATGGGATTAAAATTATGAAGGGCTTTGTATATCATAACTAAGAAATTTTTACTCTATTCTTTGAACAGTGGAGAATTGTTGGAGATGTTACTCAAATTTTAATTCTCATGTAGCATGTATGAGATGTATGAATGAAATTCTATAAGATGTATGGAAATAATGAGGTGTTTTGACCACACGGGTGAAAGAAAATATAAGCTAGGTTAAAGATAGGAGCCCTCAGTGTAAAGAGACTTAAAGGTAGGAGTCAAGGACATTATCTTCATAGAAATATCAGGATTTGGTGACCAATCAAATTTCAAAAATGAAGTGTCTGTGTTGGGTTTCAATTTTGTATGTCTGTATGAAAGGGAAGAAAATGAGTACATCTGAAAACAGTTGAGGTTGAGATGCCTGTAGAGATTGCCAATAATTGGCAGTAGATTCTAGAGCTTCATCTGGGGAGGAAGATATAAATCTGAGTCATTAGCACTGTAAGGGAGATAGAAATGCTTCTAAGAATCTATGTCATCTTTTCAGAAGTATACAGAACACAATCCCAGAACTTCTAGTAAAACACTTTCTTCCAGTAAATTGCACGTTCTTTCTTTCACATGTTTAAAATAAGTGTTCAAGGTTTAATCAAATTTCCTTTTTCCTTTTATCCTTTTGATAACATTTAATGATCTTATGATATTACTTGCTAGTAAAAGAGCATTTCAAGAACAGACAGGAATGGACTGTCTAATTTTGCCATTGTTATTTGAGGTAGAAGACTTATTATTAAGATTTTGAGAACAGCACCTCAAGATGATCAAGTGTCCAATTTAATAATAATTCTCCACTTGCTACCTTGTTTTTCCAGTATTCGTGCTACAAAAACTTCCATGCATTCTTTCATCTGTTTATTTGACTAGTTTTTATTAGGTACCTACAATATCCCAAGCCCTGTACCAGGTGCTGGGGATGAAGAGAGGAAAATATGGTGCATATACGAGCATTTAAGAAAAATATATCCAACAACTCCTGAAAAGTTAATTTTTTCTTGATATCTCCAGAACTTATAAAAAAGAAAGAAAGAAACAACTACCAAAACTCTTGTACAAGGAGAAATGGTTAAGGTATAAATTGTCAACAAAGATAAAGAACCTTCTTTTAGAAATGTAACTGGGTGGAAATACTTAAAAACAATGTTAACATTTGTTATGATTTTTGTGTGAGAGCAGGAGAGAGAAATTTGAATATTTTTATGGATTTAGGTTACTTTTCAGAATTCAAAATTAAATAACCATAAAAATAGATGCTGCTTCCATGGTAACATAAAAGAGCAATAAACAAACAGGGAAGGTAGCTCTGAGAATAAAATTCTAAAATCTGTTCTTTTTTTAAGTAAGTCTAAAATTTAATCATGTCCTCACTATTAATGATCCTGGAAATATTTAGTTCTACCAAAGCATAAATCATGATAGGGCTTTATATAATGGGTTAATTTTTTCATAATATATATTTCTTAGAACAACAGGAAAGGCAGTTTATTTTATTAAGCATAACAACATCAGAGGTAAGTGGTGTGCATTTATCTTGCCTCTGGCATTAGTCACTAAATGAATATTTTATTTTTTCTTACAGAAGTACAAAGAGAAATAATTAAGAACATAAATAAAAATAATAAGTAAAGAAAATAATCAATGGCCATAGACCAATAAGTACTGAGTGTCTAGTATATCCCAGGTTAGTGTTCGTTGTTTTACAGATTTTACTAATCCTTAGGGAGAAAAAAAATTGAGGAAAATATTTTACCTACTTTATAGATAAAATATTAAAGCTCAGAAATATTATATAACTTACCATAAGTTACCCAGGCCAGACTAATGCTATAAAATGATGTTCTTTTATTCTCAACAGTTTATCTTTTTCCATTTTTAGTTATAAAAGTAATGCATATATACAAAAAATATGGGGTAAGAAGTAAAATTTCCTCTTCCAATTCAATCTTCTCACTGGAAGTAATCTATATTCCAGATAGATTTATATCCATAGCTAATAGATTATATAATGATATGTATAAATGCAGATATTATAGATACTACACAGAAGAAAATGTTCACACATATTTTTTATAAATAAGATCACTCAATATAAGTTGCACTCTGAATTTGGTGCCCTCTTTTCAATTTTTGATGACAATACAAATAGATTTCTCTCGGTCATTTTGATGGCTATGTAGTATTCTATACCATGACTACACCATGATTTACTTAAACAGCCCCCTCTTGGTAAATATTTAGTTGTTTCCACCGTTTGTGTTATAACAAAAGGGCTCCAGTAAACATTCTTGTATATATATTTGTAGACATGCATAAGTATTCATGCAGGTAAAAAAATATTGGTTTTAATTTCTATCTTGTCATTAAATTGATAATGCAGAGACATTAGATTATCTGCAGGTATGGAGTTTTAGCTTTCGTTCTTTTGTGCACTTCGTTTATGAATCCCTGGGGTTTCGGCCCTGTACCCTTTGTCCTCATGTGCTCATAGGTGGTAACGTGGGATATTTGGCTGTTGTCATTAACTGTAGGCTCATCGAAAGTGTTGCCTTTTAAATTAAACTCTGTAGTGTTTTCTTAAGAAACTTGGGATAATAAAATAACCGAATTAGTTTTTAATTTGAATGCCTATTAGTTGGCTAAACTAAGTCTTTATTGTCATTGACTTGTTAGCCATGGTGTAACTGGATAGCTTTCACAATAATATGAATATGAAGTTGATAAAAAAGGCAGAGTTTACCTGATTTCCTCCCATACCGTGACAGTTGAATATGCCCACTTTTTCATTTTCCTTGCGGCCCATGTTGTCTAAACATTGATTAGTCTCAACATTTCTTATCTAAAGGAAACACACATAAAAGCATATGTCAGATAGAGATATAAGTCAGGAAACCTTTCTGATGTCATCAAGTTGTGTATTGATAACAAAAGGATACATGTTTGTAAGGCAGTTCCTCTAAGAAGAACACATTGCTTTAAATACATATCTTTCTTTTTCTGTGTACATTCTCAGATCCGTGTAAGTTTCTGAACTCCTATTGAAGTCAATGTGACGGCACTGGCATTGTCATTAGCATCTAATCAAGACGCACTATTTGTTTACACCACAGTATCAGAGAAGAAGGAAACATCTCCATGTCACAAATTAGGAATTCTTCCCAAAATCCTTTTAAAATTAAGACACTTTCTAAATTCCACTCAAATAACTGTCCTCTATTATTGAACTTTCTATAGCACCATATGCAAAGGAATGGAAACAAATTGGTTAAATATTCAAATATATGTTTCTATAGATTGCTTCATTACTAGATGCTTCATTTAATACATTAATGAAGATTAATTACATTGTTTATTTCTGTAACTAAAACGTATTCATGCATCTTTTTTCATTCTCAATGCCAAACTTGATGGAAAGCAGTTGACCCTAAAAAAATCTATTACAAGGTTAAATGGAGATTTCGCATTTAAAAATTTCCAAAAACAAGATTAAATTGCTAACTTCAAAGATAAGATTCTTGGTTTACAATCGAACATTGCATTAGTCCCAAAATTAACATAAAGTTAATACATATTTGAGTCAAACGTAATTATAAAAGCCATTTATTGAGTTTAAAAATGCTAACATTACTAAATTATGTACAAATGAATGCAAAAAAAGGAATGTTTTCAATTTTTTCCTTAGTCTCAGTCCCAAGTATGATTTACTATACTTGTCCCCTCTGCTTCCGAAAAGTTCTTATCTCTGACTTTTATTACAACATGAATATTTTACTGTTCACTCATACATCACTTGGATATGTCTATTTGTTATCTATGCTTTAGGTACATGTTTATTCATATTTGCAAATAAATAAAATAAAATAACTTACATAGAAGATTGATTAGGTTAATACGATTCACTTTTTTTGTATAGTGCAGAACTCCATGATCAAGTAATAGTTCCTGGAATTTTGGAAAATTATATTATTTGCATTAAGACCCCAATTGGCAACTGAGAGCAGTAGGGATTGGAATTCACACTTGGTAAGGGCTGGAAAAAGCTGAGCAGAGTGGTCAAAGCCTGTTCTAATGGGTTGAGATTTTAGAGCAGGACTACAGATGCTTTCATGGAGAAATCTGAGCAGCAACCCATTAGAAAGGACAGAACCCATTGTGAATATTAGAGGGAAAGGGCATAAGCTTCCAGGAGCAAAATTATGTCCAAGTTCCTTCTTGGTGGGTTTAGGGCTAAAATGTACTCTCAGTTGATTTAGGTTGGTTCAGGCACTAGAGGAGATGGAGCCAATAGACTAAGGCTAAAGATTTTTCAGAACCTGTGGCTGCACAGAATTGGGGAAGGTAACAATTGATAGAAGATGCAGTACATTGATCTGCCTATGTTTTGCATGGTCTGATCAATATATAACATAAGTTGGATCATTTTTAAATCCCTTACATCATACTTTTCTTATTAACTTTTCATAAAAGGCACACATCTTGAGAAACAAAATTCTTCATTATTATTACTTATCATAAAAAGCATAGAATAATGTAACACTATCACACTTAGAGAAATAAACATCTCACTGAGGGAACAGAGTAGACGCAGTCCCTCCCATCAGGGAGCATAGCTTTCAGAAGGGAAGAGTGCGACACACAGATGCACCTGGATTGTGTCAGAAGATCAAGAAGTCCAGCAAAGAAACGGAAGGTGCAGCAAGGGTGGAGGAAGCAATGGCAGGGTTACTGTTTTAGATAGGGGCCCTGGAAAGGCCACTGAGAAATGTTACTTGAAAAGACACCTTATTGAAAGGACAGAGCAGCCATATTTCCATCTATGGAAGAGCATTCCAGACTCGGGGAACAGCAAATGGATGCCCCCTGCAGCTGAGAAAACTGAGCGAAATAACAAGCTAACAATGTAGCCAAGGTACAGTGAGCGAGGGGAGGATTACAGAGGTGTCCAAGACTCAATAATGTAAGAAACCAAAGGTTTGGGGGCATAAGGGTGACATATTACTAGCTTATTCTGGCTGCTGTGTGGAGAACAGATTAGACAGAGGCAAGGGTGGACGCAGGGAAACAATGAGGGGACAGTTGCAGTCATGCCAGCAAGAGGTGATGGTCACTTGGAATAATGGGGTAATAATGGAGGTGGCTAGGTCAAAAGAGGTCAAATTTCAGATGTTTCTTAAGGTAGAACCAAGTAGGGCTTGCCATTAAATGGGATATGAGCTATGAGAGCAAAAAAAGACATCAAGAAACCTTCCAAGGTTTTGACTTGAGCAAATGGGTAAATGATGTTTCCATTTACTGGGAACAATATTCTGAGTTTTTGTAATCATTGCTAAAATATATCTGTGGCCTTGATATTTGAAAATCAATTTGGCCCAGCCAGTGTGGCTCAGCTGGTTGAGCATTGACCTACGTACCAAGAGGGTACTGGTTCGATTCCGTGTCAGGTGCAGGAGGCAGCCAACTGATGCTTCTCTCTCATTGATGTTTCTGTCTTCTAGCCCTCCCCCTTCCTCTCTTTCTAAAATCAATAACATATATATATATATTTTAAATATATCTTTATTGATTTCAGAGAGAAGAAAGGAGAGGGAGAGAGAGAGATAGAAACATCAATGATGAGAGAGTCATTGATCAGCTGCAGCCCGCAACCCGGGCATGTGCCCTGACCGGGAATCGAACCCCATCGCCTGGATCTTAGGTCGATGCTCAACCGCTGAGCCACACCCAGCCGGGCAACATATATATTTTTTTTAAAAATCAACTTGGTAGAACTGAAATCCTTGGCTTACAATGTTTCCTTGAGTATCTTTAAAATGTTATTCTATCTACTACCAGCATAAACAGCTGTTTTTGAAACCATCATAATCTGGTTTCTTGAGGGCCAAGTTGATTTTTCCCTCCCTTTTCTTTAAAGTTCAATAGAGTTACCACAGTTTACCTTAATAGTGTCCCTCCTGGGTCACTCTTCAGGCATGTGGTGTTCCTTTTCAAGGTGCAGTTCCAATTTTATTTTCAAGAAAGTTTCCTTGAATCCTAGTTACTCATGTTAATTTTGTTTTATTGCTTTGACTTTTCTCATTAGACAATTCTATTATTTTGGATCTTGTTGCTTATCTTCTATATACATCACTTTCTATGGAATAGTTTTGTCTTTTTTATTTATTTTTTAAAAAAATCCTCCTTTTCCCCTCTAAAACTCTTATGGCATTTTCTCCTGGAATTATTGACTCATATGTTCTTCAAGTTTAGCCTTCATTTCTAAACTGTTTTATTCTTTAATATTTAATTCTTTCCAGCATTTCAGGCCCTCAATTCAGAGAGTTTTTTTCTAACTTCGATTTGCATTGTTCTTTTCTGTATTTTATCATCATAAAATTTTTTTTACCTTGCTTTGAAATTTTAGGTTACACTTTTCCTCTGCCTTATGAGCATAATATTTTGTGTTTGTACTGCTGAAGAGATATTATTCTGCTCTTTATTATATTTATTCTTATTATAGTCACCCTTTTTTTTCTTTTTTGCAAGAAGGAGGGTTTTATCAGGAGATCCTTCCTCTCTCTTTCTTTTTTTTTGAGGGGGGAGGGATCCCCTGGGATCTTGAAATGATTCCCCTGCCTAGCTCCCTTGCCCAGGCATCCCCATTTAATTGGTATAGGGTATAACCTGGCCATCAGGGTTTTTTTTAAATTTCCTCAGTGATCTTACTTTGCAGCAAATTTGGGAACTACCATTCTGGAGGACAGTTACTTTCCCTTTGAACTAACTTCTTGCTCAGTGGTTGCCATCCGGGCTGCCCAACAGACTCACTTGGAAAGCTCTCGGAACAGCCTGACTGGCCTGGCCCGCACAGACTCGAATCCAAACGGTCTGAAGCGGGACAAGGGTCCGTTTAGAGCCGCAGATGACTCGAAAGTATAATGGGTGTGGAAACCCCTCATAGCGAGAGAACACAGTGAGGTCCTTGATGGCTGGAGTGTATCCTGAGAATCATTTTTAACACTCAGTGCTGGTGGAAAGAAAAGGCGGTTTCAGAGCAAAGCTGATTCCTTCACTCCCCAGTGGGGCTGTCGAAGGGTAAATGCTCCAGCTGTCCTTGCCAGGAACTGTTTACACAGGAGACCATTTCCAACCTCACAAGTCTCTATCTCCTCTCCTTATACTTTGAGGAGCTGGAAAGAAACCCTGTCTTTTATTTTGTGAGATCTCCTAGCTCTGTTCATCTTCTATTTTTATCTGGGCCTTCCATTTCCTTTGTCCCTATTGTCCCTACCTTCTCAATTTGGGCTTTATCTCCTCAAATTTCTCCTGAGAAGAAGCTTCAGCTAGTGAGTTTTAAGAATTCACAGGTCACAGAGTTCAGACCGTTCAGACACTAGAAAGGAGACTTTTCACTGACTTACAAATTGGATTGTGTAAAAAACACCTTTCCCAGGTTTAACTATCATCCAATTGCCCTGAATCAATTTTTCATAAGTATTTACTAGTAATCTGGGTGTTATCCTGGTCCCATTTCCATCAGATACCCCATTGCTTCCTCCTGCAAAGATTGTAGTATCATATGGTCCTAAGATTGACAGCTCGTGTTTTGGGATTTGTGAGAATAACCTTGCCACCTAGTTTGCTGTCAACATTGTCCATCAATTTTTGGTTTTGCTCTCCTGGATGCTCCTTCTCTTTTCACAGGAGAATTCAAGGACTTTCAAATACTGTGTCTGTGCTCCCACTATTTTTTCAGAATTCCAGAATAGACTCATTTTGGGGACTGCAAGAAAATAAGCCTGTTACATTTTTGACATGTTCTAACTTTTCTACAGAGTGGTTTGGTAGTTTCTGGACAAGGAA